AGATACGTATATTCGAAATGCCTTTGATAACGACCACTCTGTCCTAGCGGTCTTTTTTGACTAGAGAAGGCATATGACACCACTTGGAGGTATAACATCCTAGCCCAAGCCCACTCCTTAGGTCTCCGCGGTAATCTACCAACCTTCATTGCTGCTGTCTTGTCCGATAGACATTTTCGGGTCCGTATTGGCGCCTCGCTTTCCTCGGACTTTGTATAAGCTGAGGGAGTTCAACAAGGTTGTGCCCTCAGCACTACTATTTTTCTCTTAGCTATAAATGACCCACCTTTCATTCTTCCTTCGCATATTTGGTCGTCACTTTATGTTGATGACTTTGCTATAGCTTACTTAGGCGCTGACTGTCGATCAGTAGCAGTCTCTCTTCAGGATGTGATAGATCAAGTCTCCCATTGGACCACTTTTCACAGCTTTAAATTTTCTAGTACGAAAACTCGGTTCATTACCTTCACGAGATGCACTCCTTGTACTTACACGGTTCACGTATTCCGGCATGGTTCTGGGCCTGTTCTTTGATCACCGGCTGACATAGAGACCTCACATTTCTTCTTTAAAGACAACTTGCCATGATCAGCTAAATCTCCTTAAAGCTCTTGCACATCGTTCATGGGGAGCAGATCGTTGCACTCTCCTCCATTTGCATTCCACCCTAGTCTTGTGCAAGCTGGATTATGGTGACCAAATCTATTCTGCGGCCTCTCCCGCAACTCTGTCTAAGTTAGAGCCCATTCATCACCAAGGTCTCTGTCTGTGCCTTGGTGCCTTTCGTTCATCCCCTGTTGAAAACCTCTATGCAGAAACGAATATTCCAGCCTTGTCTTATCCCTGTGATGCTCATTGCCTTTGCTATTATGTTTGATCTCATGACTTCCACAATCCTTCCATATATAGGATGGTCACTGATGTTAGTAGACGTTCTTTATTTGTCCATTGCCCCTGCTTACTCTGCCCCTTTTCTCTCCGCCTCCATTTGCTCTTGTCTTCTCTTCAGTTACCACAAGTTCTATATTCATGTAGCATCTCACTTTTCTCTGCCCCCTTGGGAAGTTCCAGCTGTTTGTTTCTTTCTCACTGCCATGCGCGAAAACCCAACTACCTATGGTGGCTTCCCGCTCTCTTTTTCTTGATCACTTCTGCTCTCATTCTCATGCCATCACAGTGTATACTGATGGTTCTAAGTCTTCTGATGTTGTCGGATTCACAGCAGTGTTTCAGGACAGTGTCATGTGAGGACATTTATTATCCTTGGCTAGCATTTTTACGGCTGAATTGTATGCCATTCTTGTAGCACTTATCCGTATAGCATCTATGCCTGTGTCATCATTTGTTGTCGTTTCAGACTCCCTTAGTGCTTTACAGGCTATACAAAAATTTGATTCACTTCACCCCCTGGTTCTTCGTATCCAGCTTTGGTTACACCGTATCTCTAGCAAACACAAAGATAACAAAAAAGGCACAATACCATGACTGGAACGATACACAAATAACCCGCATATGGACTTTATAAATGGTCCAAGTTGGACCGAAACATCATCGTAAGCTCCTCTCTTCTGTATGCGTGTTATTTGTGTGAACACAAAGATATTGTTTTCTGCTGGGTCCCTGGTCATGTTGACATTCAGGGCAATGAACAGGCAGACACTGCTGCACGGTCAGCAGTACATGACCTCCCAGTTTCATATAGAGGTGTTCTATTCACAAACTATTTTGCTGAAATTGCTACCCACCTTCACACCCATTGGCAACAATGTTGGTCTGATCTGCTCCATAACAAACTTCATTTTATTAAACCGAGTATAGGTATCTGGCTGTCTTCTTGTCATCAGTGTCAAGGTTGGGAGACTATCTCCGTCTTCTCATCGGCCACACTCGTCTTACTCACAGGTATCTCCTGGAGAGGTGCCCTGTTCCTCTCTGTGAGAATTGTCAAGTTCCAGTATCTGTTAGCCACATTCTGTTGGATTGTCCACTCTATCAACGAGCACACAGAATTTGCCTCCAAAGTCGTCTCCACTCCCCTGCCCTTTCTTTACCTTTCCTTCTTGTTGATGGATCCTCCTTTAATCGAGACTCTCTCATTGACTTTTTGACTGCAACTGATTTACTACACAAACTGTGATGATGATGCCTCTAGCACTCTCCTCCTTCCTTTCTACCTTAATCTCTAGCTACCCTCTACCCCTGCACTATCCACTGCCCCGCTGCACTCCATACCCTAATAATCATCCCTCTCCCTCTTGCTACCCATTTCCCCGGCATTCATCCCTACCCTGCAGCACTGTATAACCCTTGTGGTTTAGCGCTTCTTTTTTATTATAATAATGATATTCGTCTGTATTAACTTGTACAACTTGTACACAGTGTCAGAATATTTGTATTTTGAGGTAATTATTATAATCATAAAAAAAATATTGTGAGGTAAGAGTTTCACAAATTCTTATAAACATACGTGAATAAACTATAATTGGACACACCTTAATACGCGTTTATTTTGCCTGACCGAGTGATCGCCTGCCACCCGTTCAGTTTGTGTTTTTACATTGTCTGAACTCCGTGTATCTTGTTCCCTTTTGTTTACTATTTCGTTAACTAGTTGGCTCGTGTTGACGATGGCGTCTAAGCTTAGTTGTGATAAAAAGAAGTCATATGCCTCTTACTTTAAGTGCCAAGTTAGAAATGATTAAACTTAGTGAACTGACTTTTTTTGGGTTATCCTAGTTTCTCTGCACATATGCTGCTATGTATGATGATCAATGTAACTGTATTTGTGTATATCTGAATAAACTTACTAACAAGTTATGTCGATGGCTGAGATAGCCATCAAATACAGTTACATATAGCAGCATGTGTGTAGAGAACCTAGAATAACCCAAAAAAGCCAGTGACTTATTTCTGGCATGGAAAAACTTTTACATTGCCACTCACCTTTCATACATTCATATTTAAGGTAAGTAACAGGTGTACTGTGTGTGTATTTTACTTTTTATTGTGTTTTTTAATGCCTGGTTCTATTGCTAACAGTAGGGCCCCACTTATATGGCAGGTTAGGTTCCAGGCTATTGCTGGAAAGCAGACATTGCCAGAGAGCAGAACGCCATTTTTTCCATTTATAAATGCATATAAATGCCAGACAAGTTTACACTAACTTATATTAAGTTAGTAATAGAACTAGGCATTAAAAAACACAATAAAAAGTAAAATACACACACAGTAGTACATACATTACTTACCTTAAAATATTTGTAGTCTTAATGTAGTGCGAGAGGTGAGTAGTACTTATTTGTAGGAAGTCAGGTGTAGGTAGCCCTGGCTTCCCATCACATGCTTAATATAGAATATTGAAAGTAGCCCAGAGAGATAAAATACACATACAGTACACTCATTATTTACCTTAATATATGTGTAATCTTAATGTTGGATGAGAGGTGAGTAGTATTTGTAGGAAGTCAGTGTAGGTAGCTGGTAGGTGTAGCCCACCTGTGCTACACCTACCGGCTACTTACACTGCGGCCCAGAGCCATATTACTATCAACATACCTTTTTCACTGAATTAAATTGTTTCTAACAACTACCTTTAGATGCCATTCTAAACGAAGGGAGAAGTGATGAATAGTTCATGCCGAGAATTGTAAACAAAAGTGGAGTGGGGGAGTGACTAGGCAAACGCAGATTCATACACGTTTTCTATGGTGCTGGACCTGAGAAAATATGATGATTTCCCTCTGCCTGGCATATAAACATAGCATGTTTGTGCTATGTAACATGTTTCTTACATAATTTTGAAGAAAATATAAATGGATTAATGAAAATGTGTATATTAACATAAAATAAAACATTTAATATGCCCAAGAGTGATTATAGAGATATGTGCTCATGGAGAATGTAGACAAACTGGGTGGTGCTCACCATATTAGAAAGGCCGCTCACTGTATAGTATGTAGTGTGTTTTGGTCATACACGTAATTTGAAATTGCCGTATTAGCAGAACGTTGTAAGGTGAAACGCCATAAAACAGGGCCCTACTGTATGTTAGTGTAAACTTGTTATTTAGCATTTATATGCATTTATAAGTGGAAAAAAGGGTGTTCCACTTTATAGTGATTTCTGCTTTACACTAGTTGCCTGGAACCTACCCTGATGTATATAAGTGGGGCCCTACTGTATACAAGTCCTCTACATACCTATTATAAAATTTAATTGATAAATTATGCGCAATAAGTGGAGAATTATCGCTTTTTCACTGATAGGAAGCACTTCACGGCTTCTCTTAGGCTCTGAAGAAATGCCAGCTTTTCTACTTTTGTGCTTTGGGACCAGTATTATGCAAAATTAAGAGGTATTTTTGGGCCACAGTAAACCGTGGATAACTGAAACAGCAGATATCTAATCAGTGGATACGGGGGTACTACCGTAATAATAATTTAGTAGGCTAAATACCAAAAGGTGGCAGTTTATGAATTTCACTTTGCTCCTGTAGCAATATATAGGTAATAAAATAAATTCAGTATTCGTGAACCTGTTACTTTCTCTTTTCATGGACCTGGATTAAACTCGTGCCTTACTAAAGGCAGGAGACAGCAAAAACAATATTTTAGTTTTAAAATTAATATCTATACATAGTTACACAGCTTTTTTTTTTTTTTGATGAAACGTTTGAATGGGGTTGTAAGTATGAATAACGGATACATGAAGGTGAGTAATGAAAGTGAAATCTGTTGTTTCAAGTTTACAGGTGGTAAGGTATCCAGTGCTTGTAGCTTTGTGTATATCAAGCCTTTTTTTTTTCTCTCTCTCTCTCTCCCCCTCTCTCTTACCTGTCAGATTCAGCACTTTCTCTGTGGATGTCAAGGCCACTGGCCCTTTTATGTATGTGCACCTAGCTTGACGTTTGCCTGTTATGCCAGTTATGCTATTGCTATGTTTTTGGGAAGCGTCTCAATCTGCATTTGATTTATGTTATTTTTTTTCTTTTTTCTTTCTAGCGGTGTGTAGTGGTAGATGTTGTTCAGTGGTAGCATGCAACACAATTCGAGAAGAGGAGGAAATGCCACAGGAAGTGCAGTGTGCCAAATGCCGTCATTTCCATGGGGACCAGCCAGTGGGGTCTGGCCCCCCAGTAGAAGCTAGCAAAAAGTCCACTCAGAGCTTAGACTTACCTGGTCTAATGCCTGAGTGCGATTCCCCACCCCTCGAGCCGTCCTTGTGTCGTCCTCCCACCCCTGAGTCTCCTCATGAGGCCAGTCCCCTTCTGGCCTGTTCTTACTCAGAATCACCCAGTTTAACAGAGAAACATTTTAGTAGTCAGGCCATAGCTGATGTACAAAACAAGACTTCTGCTCTTAGTGAATTAGAAATTGCAGTGGCATATAATGAGAGTGCAACAACACATACAGATACCATAATAAAATCTGTTGATGCACCTGTGGTGTTTGACTCTGGGGGGCAGGGTAAAGAAGTACCTGAAGACACTCCTAAGGAAGATGTTTTTGTGCTAATTGAGTCAAAAGTGAGAACTGATATAGGTTGTGATACATTTAATGAAACTTCATTTATTAGTAAAAGCATTCAAGATCAGATATGTAAGGCAAACCAGTCAAGTGGTGAGCCTTGTTCTCCTAATGCTGAGCCTTGGATATCTCCTCCAAGTCCTGTAAAGTCTCTTACTAAGAAACCAGGCGGTGCCCACAGAGTCCACCCAACACCAACTACCGAGTCCAGTAACACATCAGAACATTCTGCTTCCTACAATGTTTTAAGTGATTCTGAGGTTTTGAACATCCCATCTAGAGTTGATCCCATCCCGTCCATTTGCCAATTGCATGCTGAGTCTTGTGATGAAGAAGCAAGAGAATGTGTTAATAAAATTAAACCTCCACTAGAAAAGTCTCTCTCTGTTGATTCAGCTAAAATGACTTCCATGAAATCTAAAATGGAATTGGAGTCAACATCAGAGTCTTTAACAGCCCTAAACCTGAGCCCTGTCAAGAGAAAAAGAAGAAAAATCTCGGTGCCATATAGAATAACTCCAGATGGCACTAAAGTTAACTTTCTCTGCGATGTCAGTATGTACCTCTTTTTTCCTTATGTGTAAATTTCCAGTTAGTTTTTATAGTAGACATGCCATACTCAGGGATTCTAGTATACAATTAGTACTGTAGCTGAAACCCTAGATATTAATGAAAATTTGGATTCTTTTTTTCCACTAAGCTAGAAGGGCAACTCTGAAACTTCAAGCCTTTTTTTTTAATAGTCCTTTCATGGTCTTGATAGTGGTGTTGTAGACCAAATCTGGAAATGTCTTGTAGCCTCAAGAGTCTTGTATCATTGTTACTACTTGAACTAACTGTTGTCGTCTGACTTGGTCTTCTCTTTTCTGAGAGTTTTATAAATTAGTTTTTTGGTTTCTTTGTGTTTAGAAATACATATTAAAACAAGTATGTGTTTCTACACTCAGAAATTCAGTCAACTTTTGTAGATTCTTCTTCAGTTCTTAATGTACAGGCTTCTTGATGCTTATCATGAGCCTTCTCCAGTTTATGTACGAGCTGCTTCACATTTATCCTTCTCCAGTTATTAATGTTCAGGCTGCTTGACAAGTCTCCCATTCGTTTGTCATAATCATAAAAGATGCTTGTTTGCGGTAGTTTAGTGGTTTAGTGTTTCCATAGCAGCAGTAGTAGTGATTTCCCAGAGTTTCATTTTGTAGTTGCATGCAAACTCACTCTTATTTGCTCACATAGATTTGCATTAGTTCACACACAGCCCTACATCTTCACAGCACAAACCTGCAAACTGGTTATAAAGGGCAGACATTGTTCATTGTAATTATTATCAAGGACTTCATATCTGCAAGGTAGGTATCGCAGGATTTATATTAATTAAAAGAATGCATTAGTTGGTGCATATTGCTATTTTTTACAAAGTGTGGAGGCAAAGTATATATGAACTATTTAGCCATATTATATATTAATGTAAATGTTTAGGTTGGAGGGATATGTTGTGTATCTTTATACGTATATGCTTCTAAGCTGTTGTATTCTGAGCACCTCTGCAAAAGCAGTGATAATGTGGAGTGTGGTGAAAGTGTTGAATGATGAAAGTATTTTCTTTTTGGGGATTTTCTTTCTTTTTTGGGTCACCCTGCCTTGGTGGGAGACGGCCAACTTGTTGGAAAAAAAAAAAAAAAAAGTTTAGGTCTTTACTAGTTTTGATAAAGATTTTACTAATATTTCAGGGAGTGAAAAAATGACAAAAGAAATAAATAAATACAGCCTCTCCTCACTTAATGACGGAGTTCCATTAATGAGACCACATTGGTAAATGAATTCGTTGCTAAGTGAGGAGCATACTATAATGGTAGTGGGTTTGTGTCAGCCATCTTTGATATTGTTTTACTCTCACCTTTGCATCATTTATAACATTTTTTAGTATATTTTTAAATGTTTATACGATATTGTACTGTATATTGTAATAAACCGAATACAGTGGACCCTCCCTTTTCGTCTTTAACCCTTTGAGGGTTTCGGCCATACTAGTACGGCTTACGACCCAGGTTTTTTGACGTACTAGTACACCTAAATTCTAGCGCCCTCAAATCTAGTGGGAGAAAGCTGGTAGACCTACATATGAAAGAATGGGTCTATGTGGTCAGTGTGCACAGTATAAAACAAATCCTGCAGCACACAGTGCATAATGAGAAAAAAAAAATTTTGACCGTTTTTTGGAATAAAACAGTGACTTTGCACTGTATTTTTGTATGATATTTATTGTTGTATTCTAGTTTTCTTGTTCTCATTTTATAGAATGGAAGACATATTACAGAAATTGAGATGATTTTGACTGGTTTTACAATGAAAAGTACCTTGAAATTGAGCTCAAAGTAGCAGAAATGTTTGATTTTTAGCAAAGTTCAAAAGTAAACAAATCATGCCAAGCATCCAATACACACCAACTGGTGAATCTAATATTCTTTCGCAAGTGCGCCAATATTATTTATACCATTTTTTACACTAATGCAGTAGTCTGCATGACAGTAAATCTTCTATTTTTTGTGAGAATAAAAATTCAAAGTGGAAAGCAAAAGAATGTAAGAGGGGCCTTGAGACGTGACTAATGAACAGAGGAAATGTCATTTTAGTGCCAGGAATGTCTTTCTTGTTTATTCTGGACCCTATTCGGAAATTGGCATCTTTTGAAATTTGTGTGAAATTGGCAAAATTGCTAAATTCTGACCACCGTACTGGATAGTTGAAATTGGTAAATGGGTGGTTTCTTGTCGACCCTCAAAGGGTTAATTCGTTCTAGAGTCTGATGAAATGTGAAATTGACTAAAACTGAAACTATTTTCCCCCTAAGAAATAATGTAAATCCAATTAATCCGTTTCAGACATCCAAAAGTATAAACAAAAAATAAATTTTATAGAGAACTACTATATTCTATGACGTATTTATCTATCACAGTTCATGTGGTGATATAATAAACAATATTAATAACATAGAAACATGATATGTACTCTCAAATGAATAAAATGTCATTACGTATGTGAGGAGTAAGTGATGTTGGTGGTGTTGGGTTTATAAGGGCCACTGAGAGAAGCCGTACATATTAGTGGTAGTGGAGGCCGCAGCAGAAGCCACCAACACTGTTCACACTATATTCAATGACTTATTTATCTATCACAATTCATCTAATGACATAAACAATATTAATAACATAGAAACATAATATGTACTCTCAAATTAATAAAATGTCATTATGTATGTGAGGAGTAAGTGGTGGTTTTGGTGTTGGGTTTATAAGGGCCACGGAGAGAAGCTGTACATATTACATAATAACATAAGAAAGGAGGAATACTGCAGCAGGCCTGTTGGCCCATACTAAGCAGGTCCTTTACAATCTTTCCCCACTAACAAAATATTTGCCCAACCCAATTTTCAATGCTACCCAAGAAATAAGTTTTGATGATTATATTTTCTCATTATGCAAGTCTCACTCAAATCCAACCCATCTCACTCATGTATTTATCTAACCTAAATTTGAAACTACCCAATGTTTTAGCTTCAATAACCCTACTAAGCAGACTGTTCCACTCATCAACTACCCTATTACCAAACCAATACTTTCCTATATCCTTTCGAAATCTAAACTTATCTAATTTGAATCTTATTTTGGGTTCTTTCTTGGAGGGATATCCTCAAAACCTTATTTATATCCCCTTTGTTAATACCCATCTTCCACTTATACACTTCGATCATGTCTCCCCTCATTCTTTGTCTTACAAGTGAATGTAGTTTAAGAGTCTTCAGTCGTTCTTCATATGGAAGATTTCTAATGCTATGTATTAATTTGGTCATTCTATGCTGAACATTTTCTAGCGAATTTATATCCATTCTGTAATATAGAGACCAGAACTGGGCTGCGTAATCTAGGTGAGGCCTAACTAATGATGTATAAAGCTGTAAAATAACCGCTGGACTTCTGTTGCTTGCACTTCTAGATATAAATCCCAGTAATCTGTTTGCTTTGTTACATACGCTTAGGCACTGCTGTCTTGGTTTAAGGTTGCTGCTTACCATAGCCCCCAAGTCCTTTTCACAATCTGTATGGCTAAGTTCTGCGTTATTTAACTGATTAGTACTAGGGTTATGAACACTCCCTAGCTTCAGAGCCTTGCATTTATCTACATTGAACAGCATCTGCCACTTTTCTGACCAGGAATTGAGTTTGTCTAAATCCTCCTGAAGTTCTGTGACATCTGCGTTTGAATCGGTTATCCTACCTATCTTTGTGTCATCGGCGAATTTGCTCATATCACTAGTAATTCCCTCATCAAGGTCATTGATATATATTATAAACAACAATGGGCCCAAGACTGATCCCAGTGGAACACCACTTGTTACAGATCCCCACTCGGATTTAGCCCCATTTAAGCATACTCTCTGCTTCCTATTGGTGAGCCATGTCTCGATCCATGACAGCACTTTTCCCCCAATGCCATGAGCTGCCACTTTCTTTAACGGTCTCTGGTGTGGTACTCTATCAAAAGCCTTACTGAAATCTAAATAAACAATATCGAATTCTTTATCGTGGTCAAAACAGGCTCAAAAGCTTTACTGAAGAAGGTTAATAAATTAGTTAGGCAGGAATGGCCCCTCATGAAGCCATGCTGAGTATCATTAATCAAGCTATGCTTATTGAGATGGCTTCTTATAATATCAGCTATAATTGACTAGTAATTTGCTTTCAATTGAGGTTAGGCTTATTGGGCGGTAATTTGACGGTAACTACTTGTCCCCTGCTTTAAAAATAGGAATTACATTAGCCATTTTCCACATATCAGACACTACACCTGTTTGAAGAGAAATATTAAAAATATTTGTCAATGGTTCACAAAGTTCCATTTTACACTCTTTAAGAACCCTTGAAAAAAGTTCATCAGGGCCCAGGGATTTATTTTGCTTTAATCGGTCAATCTGTTTGATAACCATTTCACTAGTGACTATGGTATTGCATAATTTATCATCTTCAGACCCACTATAAAAATTTATTACTGGGATATTGTTTGTGTCTTCCTGAGTGAAAACTGAGAGGAAATAATTATTAAGAATAGAACACATTTCATTCTGTATGTAAAGTAAAAGGACACAAGTGCAGCTAATGTGACATTGTATTGTGGCAACGTTTCGCTCTCCAGGAGCTTTGTCAATGGGCTTGACAAAGCCCCTGGAGAGCGAAACGTTGCCACAATAAAATGTCACATTAGTTGCACTTGTGTCCTTTTACTTTACATATTCTCGGTAATTCTACCAACATTATCCAATTTCATTCTCCTTGTCAGTAAGATGCCCAGAGTTATTTTTAAGGGGACCTATCTTATCTCTAACTTTTGTTCTATAAACCTGGAAAAAACTTTTTGGGTTAGTTTTTGAATCTCTAGCAACTTTAATTTCATAGTCCCGTTTGGCCATTCTTATCCCCTTTTTAACGTCCCTCTTAATGTCAATATACCGATTCATAAGATGACCCTCACCTCTTTTGATGTGCCTATAAATTCTTTTGTCT